ATTTCGCCACTGCCGGTGTCACTATTATGTACCAATATTTGGCTTGCATAATTTCAAATTTGGGCCCCCCCCCCCCACTAAGAAATCCTGGATCCGCGCCTGTTCACAGGTAGTCCAATTAATTACTGGTCTGTAGGCCTAGGCCTCAAATTTTCTAGGCCTACTCTCGTACTCGTCTATCTCGGTATCTGGTCCAAATTTTGGCGCTTGTTCACAACTCATGTCAACTGTGACCATGCTTTTTAGTGTTAGCTATTAACTTTCTTCTGACCTAACTATGAAAGTAGTTTTTCAACAGTTGGACCTAAAAGTAACAAAAAGCTTGGATCATTGATGCAGCTAGCGCTAGTGAAGTGATCTGCCTATAGACCCTATACTCGTATCTAATTTTCAGAGAGGGTCTCGCCCGAAAGTTTGGGCCAAGGATCAAGGAGTGACGATGGCAATCGAGCTGCAATAATTCTTACGACGATAAATAACGAATCAAAAGTTCGAGTGTAGATTACTCCTAAATTCATCAGATATAACCATTTTAAACCACTTCACAATGTACAGACAAATCAGCAGATTCATACCTACAGCAGATATGTTTATAAATATGATTCAATTTACGAGATTTGAACGTAATTACAGCTGTACTCACCATCAAACTTTCAAAGAAAACCTCGAGCTCTCACTCTCTGTGTGGGTGACGTCATACATTAAATATGCATGCAGCGAAAGTCTTGTCTTCAGATCAGGCAATCGTACATAAAAACTTCCATCACAGATAGAAAAATTTCTTATTAAAATAATGAGGATGATTACAGTTATCAATCATTATAACCGAATCTGCATACAAATAAGAAGGAGAATAGTGATACAGAGACTTATTTACCGCACGTAGGATTTCTGATAAGAATGCACAAAGAACACAAAATGGAAAGGTGCCTGGAATAGAGGATAATAATATCATTCAAGCTCATGAATATTCATATTATGGGCGTTACCAACCATTGACATTTGCATACACAATCGTTATTTAATATATAATGGAAATGCGCTTTTCATTATATATTATATAATGGAAATACGCCTCTCATTATATATTATATAATTGAAATGTGCTTTTCATTATATATTATATAATGGAATGTGCTTTTCATTATATATTATATAATGGAAATACACTTTTCATTATATATTATATAATGGAAATGTGCTTTCATTATATATTATATAATGGAAATACGCTTTTCATTATTTATTATATAATGGAAATGTGTGTTTCATTATATATTATATAATGGAAATACGTTTTTAATTATATATTATATAATGGAAATGGCTTTTCATTATATATTATATAATGGAAATGTGCTTTTCATTATATATTATATAATGGAAATATGCTTTTCATTATATATAAATAATGAAAGTGTGAATTGTGATTATTTATAAATAATGGCAATTATATATAAATAATGCAAAGTTCTTTGTCATTATTTATAAATAATAAAAATGTGTTAAGAATTATATACAAATAAAAACGTACATTTTCTTGCATTATATGTAAATAATGGTTATTATTTGTTAAATAATGATTATATAACATATAATTTGTCTATATAATTGTTTTACAAACGGCGCCTCATAGTTGCAAAGTACTTTATTGGTATATTGCCATCATAAATACATTCTACATGAAGGAAAAAAGTCATTTCTAAATCATTACACTTTGGTTGCCTTGCTCACAAACTGAGCACAAGTCAAAGCTTATATACATATCTTAAATCACTATATACACAGTAAATTTGGTTCTTATTATAGTTTAACAAAATGAGTCTGTGAACTTAATTTCATGACAAAACTATGATGAAACTATATGTATCCGTGGTAAAGTAATAACTTATGATGGTTGGTTGAAGGGTGTAAAAAGATGAAATAGGAAGGGAATTCCCATGAGATAAAGAGAAGAAAGAAAGATGTACAGATAAAAGCACAAAGAAATAAACACAGGGCAAAAAGATGAAAAAGAAGGTGTAAAAGAGGGGGAGAGGCTTCAAATTTGCTACTGGTATGCAAAGATTATAGAACAGAGAAGGACAGAAAGAAAAATTAGGAGGGGGTAAAATATTTGTAGATTCCATATTAAGTAGGGGATGGGGCTAATAGTTTAGTCAGTGCAGCAATAGAAATGAAGATAAATATATAAATTATGTCCTTTTAAAAAAGAAGTGGAGAAATAACAGCCTTCACAGCATAAGAGAAATGCAGCACTTTACTTTTTTAGAAAGTACAATTATTTACTTTCCAGACTAAGTTCAATAGCTTCTAATTTTTTTTAAATAAAAGCTTGTTCACAGCAGATGCCATATGGCATTATAATAAAATACTACAACATTGCCAAAAAGGACCATTTTAAATGTATCTGAATAGCAAGAGGCAGTGTGGATGCAACACAAGCCCCTATGATTTTAAAATTAGTTTATCATAAAGTCAGTGTGTGCTTTAAAGCAGTATGAGCCCCCCCCCCCCAAAAAAAGAGGCTTTTACCATAATCAAATATTCACCAATTAGTGGATGACATTCATAGCACTATCAAATGCAGCACTTTACATAATGGAAACCTAATAAATAATTCATTTACTTTGAGATAAACATTTAATTACATGAAAATTATTACAATCAAAGCTGCACAAATCACACAAGAGGACTTCCACAAATTACTAACAGGAAATCATAGATGGTAATATGAAAGGAGTGAATGATGGAAATTATGATACTAAATATAACGTTCTTTGTCCTCTACTGAATTTTGTTGTTAACAATGCAAAGGTTGATTTATATTCTGATAATTAAGACTAAAATTAAGACATTTTAGACCATGATCACATCTAAACTATATATCATCATTGCAACCATGTATCATGTAGGTACAGATCATGTGTTATACAATCAATCTCCCTGATATCTAAACTAAAAATATATCATATATACGGGATAATAGTAATTCATTATACTATCGCCAACTACAAAGTAAAACAATTTTGTTAAAATATACATCAACAAAATACCACAGCAACCATTTAGAGAATTTACAGTCAATGTTTGAGACATAAATAATATAAAAATATACAGTTATGTATATGAAAAGCTTTCCTTCTTTGTTATTCTACACTTGAAAGTCATAAAATATACAACATTTAGTTTGAATATCTCTTTTTTTCTCTCATTTATTGCCATGTTTAGAACCACAGAGATATTTGACTATCTCTGAATGATGTTCTTTGTCAGCCGCTATAGCCAAGCATCATTTATTGGAATGTGGCTGTATTTGCAAACACAATATCCCTATGTAAGGCATGATTTTTACAGATAAATAACAAGATGGAAACTCCTATGCAACACATTGATATATCAACTATATTACCATCTACAGAGAGTCGGAAGGGTATTACCTCCTATGTTTTTACACAGAGTTAAGATCCTCTTGACTCTTCTGATATTGTCTACTGGTTGTAAAATGTACAAGAGAGAGTCTAGCAAATATCTTGGCTACCACAAGTAACATTGTCAAACATCTTTTTATTAATCATTATTGATACAAGTGGTATGATATATTTACAGCTTGTGTTTCTTATTGTCTTTGATTTTGGGTGTTAAGTTGATGCCTGCTTGCTTACATCATCACAAAATAAATACAAGTTCAATCTTAGGATACTTAAATACAATGATGTGAAGTCAACTCAAATTTTGAATTCAACCCAAGAGCGCTACATCGAAACATGCCACAAGACATGGGGCAAGTAGATGAGGAAAGTAATGGAAAACTCTTTCATTTTATTTGCTTAATTAAGGCAAGCAGACATTTTAACATGAAATTCTTGACTGATTCATCAAAATTAGAAATAGAAGATGAGTGACATTTCTTTCCCAAGTCTATTTGTGAACCAATATCAAACATCACACAAAACCAGTTTGAATCCTCTACAGGTCAGTGACCTCAATACTCTAGTCTCTATATCTAGACTTTATGTCTGCCCTAGGTTTTGTAGCACAAACGATTAAAAGCAAACACCATGTGTTCCAAACTTCCAACATTTAGCAGACAAACCCATTCTATACTATCAGAGACTAAGTTCTGTATGAGAAAACATAGAAAATGGAAATTGCAACATTTTGCAAAGATGATCAGTACTTTATACAACTTTCTGTTTTGATCCTGGTTTCTTTTACAAATATCTTGTTACAATGGTGACAATTAATCAAACATGCTTTTAAAAGCCAATGCATAAAACATACACACTTGTCTATTACTCATTGTACCATGTACAAAGACAAGCAGAAAACAACAGATAAACATAAAGTGAAATAACCAGGACATCTGGTTAAATACAACATGTATGGAAGAAGTCAACAAATATAAACACTATTAAAAAGATATGAAATACATAATTCTTCATTAAAAGCAAAGATAACCTTACATGACAAACCATCAATTGACTAATGATATTTGAAGGTCATATGGACCATTATTATTCCTGTGTATTGTAATATTCGATTGAAAAAGCATAAGCATAAACATAACAATACAAAAGAAGACTTTCATCTGGTAAGGACTTCATTTTTGTTTTGCAGTGTAACACTAATTTGTTTCATATCAAGATTTCTTTGCTTTCTGAGTATAATTCACTATAGTTCACATTATTGTGTTTGGATTATTCTTTTCCAAGAGATGTATATATCATCAAAAAGCAGAAAATGAGAGAAAATATATTCATTTAGCTGAACATAATGAAGCCTTAGAAATCCAAATGTATTTATCCAGTGCCACAAACTGACAATACTTTAAAATTTCAATATTTTGTTTACATAAAACTCAGATACCCTGTTTCTTACACTTATTGCAAAATAAACTTACACAGATAGGAGAGAGGGACAGAGGGAGGGAGGGAGAAAGATATATCTATATACTGTATATATAAAGAAAATTAAAAGGAATTAATTTTCAAGTAAACACATCAGCATATCATAGATAAACAAATTAAAATGTTTCTAATTTTTGTCCAGATCTGATATGATGATACTCGTCATGAACAACATAAAAAACAAAGCAGTAGAGGGAGCTACTTAAAATAGGCAGCAAATTACAATTTATCTTAGCAGTGTTCACGCATGTTGGAAGGAAGATGACTATTCATCATAGAAAACCACTGCATTTTTGTTTCATTTTTTAACAGTATTGCATTTTAGACTTGGTTTTCATCTCTGCCTTTACAACTGAAAGCAAATTGACGAAAAATAAATGACACTATCTTTGAAACTGCACAGACTTAGAGCAGACAAAATATTTGAGCAGCACATGTTCACAGGCAGCATAGGGTATTTTTGGCAGCTTAAGGGTAAGCACATTATGAAATATATCAAATACTTTTCATATAGTTTTTTAAACAAACAGATCCAACTAAAAATATGATACACTTCAATGGAATTTCCACATCACAAAAGAAAGATACTAAAATTAATTAATTTCAACTGCATTTATCATAATCATTTGTCATTCATTTTTGGAATACTATTTTAGAAAACACTGATTCATAACCATGTTGTTCTACAAAGTAAGCACAAAAGGCAAATTATTATCTTTGGTATGTCAACTACCTTTATAAGGCATTTTACATTTAGGTAGCAGATACTACAGATTGGTGGAAATTAGTGCACAATGGCAAACTGTGAAACTTGGGATTTAAACATAAAAAATCAAACATATCTTGCTACATTTGAGGAACCATTTGTATAGAGCTTGCTTTTCTCTTTATAAGCCTAGGATCCAGATACATGTTAAGTCTTCTCATAAAGGATGTGATTTTCTCAATAAATAAACTTAAATGAAGATATAACCTTATCTGGCCGGCAATAAAATCCTTAAATATGGCCAATGTAATAGAGTTGTATATATAAAATGGGTTCAAATACTTGGGAAGTAAATAGCTACTTTAGAATAAGAAAGTTGTATTTCCAATGAGTTAAAAATACATTAGGTGGGCAAGAAAGTTTCATATACTTGGCAGTCATTGTAAAATTGAGTATAATAGTATGTTTGTAGTATTCATCAGTAGATTACCGTAGTGTTATTCACATGACAAGGTGGAAAAAGAACCTCCTTGTAGTATAGCAGTCTATGAAACCACACAGAGAAATAAATACAGAGTTTACTTTGTTCCTGATTCATATGCACATCTACTTCAATAACAGACTAGTCATTTGGACAGACCAAAGGTAAGACCAGTCTAGTCTGCATGGTGGGCCAGAAACAAGACCAGTCTAGTCTATCTGATGGGCCACGTACAAGACCAGTCTAGTCTGCATGGTGGGCCAGAAACAAGACTAGTCTAGTCTATCCGGTGGGCAAGAACAAGACCAGTCAGATTTATATGGTTGACCAGGAGCATGACTAGGCTAGTCTATTTGATGGGCCAAGACCAGTCAGATCTATATGGTTGTCCAGGAACATGACTAGGCTAGTCCTTTTGGTGGGCCAGGAGCTTCTCTGAGTACTTGAGGTTAAGAACCCTTAGATCTAGGACTACCTGTAGACACTTGTGGAACACGAGAGCATCAGGAGCATGTGTAGCATAGAGGAACTTCTCTAGGACACCCAGAAGGTGCGTCTGGAGGCTGCGTACCTCATCCACGCTCTGGATACCTTTACGATCTACATGCAAGGAAAGAGATACAATACAAACAAGGGGTTAGGTGGAATTCAGGTTCAGTTTTAAATTCTTTCTGAATTGCATCACTTGATAGGGTAAAATATGCTCTAATATGAATTGTATTTCAAAGTGTCTATCTTAAAGAAAGAAAGAGTGTAAATGTGTATGTTTTGAAGACATCAGGAGGAATACAATTTACACCACAATCTAAGCTTCAGGTTTGAACCTGTGAGGATACAGACCAAGTCAAATCTATGCAATCACAACATTATGAATAACACAGGCAAGTCAGATGAGCTTTGTTAACATGTTAGCTAAAAACTTTCTGATAAGCAAAGAGGAAAAAGGGATTCCCCCTTCCCAAACCCTTTCTTCTTCATAAATGATAATACAATAGAATTACACAAAATCACATGTCAACAAATCTTTTTAAATGGAGAAAGGTCTTTTGTCCAGCCGTTCTAACAAAGAGCAACTGACCTGATGCTACTAATATAGAAGCTTGTAACAGCGCCCTCTCTGGCAGAGATAGGTTAAGCTGGTTGAGTTGTGAGGCTATCTTGGACAACGCAAGAACTAAATCTCCAACATCTGCATAGGAACAAAGCAGGATCAAAGTGACTAAATGATTGTGACAGATCAAACAAATAAATTACGATTTCATGAATCACAATCACAATGTCATATCACAGCTAAAACGGTTAAGCAGGGATAATGTTATGATTGCAGGGCCCTCAGGGAGAACAGTATGAATACTGATGAGGCTACCCTGGGTAAACAAGACATATCATCATTATTATTATTAGATCCTAAAATACAAATAATATAGAACTACAGTTGAAGACTCAATCGTAGCAAGTGAAGCCCATGTTTGCTCCCATCTTTTTTTTTAGCTTTAATGTTCTAATTCGAGATTGATATATTTCTCAGAGGTTGTTCTGAGTGGTGATATGCTACAAGTTATTGAATGATACCATACATCTAAAGGCCATCTTAATGCAATGGTTTAATCAGTAGTCAATGTTAAAAGTTGACTGGAATGCTTCCCATTGGAGTGTAAAGTGTACAGAATCATAATTATATCCAGTAACAGGGCTAAGAATAATACTGTAAGCGCTTTGGTCCGTTAGGTTATGTTGCAACCAACTGGTAAAAACATTTTAATAGAAAGTGTTGTTTCTGTCAGTCATAAAGACGGACGTTGCATAATTTAAGACATACTAGGTGAAGTCACCAAGGTGGGTAAAACCAACCATACAGGGATTCCTCTAACATCCGTGTTTCAATATAGAAGATTTAAAATACCCACCTGACTTTTGGAGAAGACCTCTGTGAAACTTCTCGCCATTAGTGAACACAATGAAGTCACTCTCTGGGTCCAGGATTTGACTCAGCTGTAGGAGCAGCACTTCAAAACAGCCGGCCTTTAACAGTGTCAGCTAAATAGAAAAGATGACAAGATATTTTGATAAGACATTTAAATAGAGGGAAAGCATTTCACATCAAATTAACATTTACACACAAGCATATTTTACCTTCATCCTGGGTTATTATCTTTTAAATTTGTATGAACTGAGTTTACATTTTAAAAGGGCACAAAAATAGAAGCACATACCATAAGCTAAATATTACTACAATAGTTCATCTTGTCCAGGCTCTTCAACATATCATGAAAATACATTTTTATTCTTTCATCCCTGATTTATTCCTGATAGTTTCAAAATCCAAGGATCACTATTTCAACCTGTTTCGAATTAGAAAGTCTTCATCCAGTGGATAATCTCTTTTAACTAAAAACAAGATAAGAGCTCAAATACTTTTTTTATATAGGCCAATGCCAGTCCTTATTTTTTATTTGAGTGAATTTTTCCTCGAATCCCCCTAACTTCTCTGTCTCCATTGGAGAAAGGAAACTCATTTTCCATGTTTTCCCTGATTTCGAGGATCTCTGTGAACCATGCCACTTTACCTGGTCTTCATGTGGGATGTCTTCAAAGCCTTCTGTAGCTTTGGCAAAGCTCACAATCCGGCTGATGATAGGTGCGAACCGATCACAGAATGCATCCTCTTTGTCTCCTACTGATAACTCCAAGGGTAGTCCGCATAAACCAGTGGAACCGTGCGTCTGGTAATGAAGGGAGCAAAATCAGTACTTAGGACAATAAAATCAAAATAGAAAATGCATAACAATCAGTTGTGATTTTTATAGCACACAATACTACAGTATACCCTGATTTTGTTATATTCAGGTTTAATTACCCAGATCATTAGATACATGCCCACATACATTTTGTGCACCATTTGTAAAAGCATTGCTAGAATATGATTTAATGAAGGTATTCATACAATTATTTGTACAAAGCAACAACTAGAGTGATTTGAATGATACTTGATATCTTTTTCTTCTAATTGTGATTATGTTTCATGGTTAATCTTTCAAAACAGAGAGAGTGGTAGAAAAAATAATCTTAAATGGTGAACTTGACTTGATTTTAAAGAAGAAACCTTCCATGTAAAACAGGACAAAAATGATGGTGATAAGTAATTATGAAAACTTTATATCACAACAAAAAGTGAGAATCTGAGAACCAAGGATTTTCCCATGCATCCTTAAACCATGTGCAAAAGATATATCCTCTGCCAAAAGCCAGGTGGATGTTAACTTAATGTTAGACGATGTGAGTGAACATTCTTTTAGCTGGCTCATGAGATGATACAGCTTTAATTACATGGCGTCTTTTCTCCTCTTACTTACCTCTTTGCCATCAGCTGCATGTAGATGCTGTTCACTGCGTAGATGTTTCTTGATGGCCACTCTAAGGATCTCTTCTAGACTTGAGAACTGAGCATCAATCTCTGTACAGTAGGCCTTGCTCAAGGAATCTACCAGACCCATACCTTGCAGGACATGAAGCATGTGAGGATTATGCCCTCCGCCGAGGAGTCTAGGAGCTCTTAGTCTGTTCCTGTGAGTGGCCTCAGGGTGGTAGGACAGTCTGGTGGTATCCGTGCTGCAGCCGTTGGGTATCCTTCCATTCTGATATGGATTGACTCCAGAGTTCTGTACCTTGGAATGGTTGAAGCCATTCTTCAGGTCTAAGTGTGGCTTGGTATTGCTTAACCTGGCTTCAAAGCTGTGATGAACACCATTGTCATACAGTCCATTCATGGGTGGAGATTTAATACTCCCAAGATTCATATTCTGTAACTTCTCTGGCATCTGATGAAAGTGAGGGTTGGGATACGGATTCCCATGGTAACCGTTGGTAAGATTCTGGTGGTTTCTTCTGACTTCTTCGTCGTGATGTAAGCGTGCAATCTGTTTACGTCTAGGCAAGAGATATTGCTTCTTGTCTGATGTCATGTGATCAAAGTCATGATAAGTAGGAGTTTGCTCTTCCTTCTTGATAACTGATGAAATCCTTTCAGTAAGGTGAGGATGATGTGCTGGGTAACCATGGCATTCATTTTGAATGTCTCTTTCAACCTTGATGCTTCGCTGGACACCACCCTGCATGCCATTAAGTCCATTGTTTGGGATGTAGCCATTCATTTGACCGCTACAGTACTGGGTCAGAAGCAAGTCCTGGATGCTTGTCTTTTTCTCATTAATATGAATGTCTTGCACACCCTTCCCAAAACTAGAACCATTCCTTCCATTGCACTCACCCCATCTACCATTGTGTTTCACTTCTGCAACATCTTTTATGCTTGTCTTAGATGATGACCAATCAGGTTTACACTGCACTCTGTCATTACTTTTACTGGGCTCCCTCCCCACATCTTTCATATCCTCCAAGCTGCCCTTTACATCTCGTTCTACAACGTCTGATATTGCACACTGCTGAGACTCTGTGGTTGCTAGGGGCCCATCCTCGCTAGCAACCATAGCTTCTTGGCTCGGAGGTCGGCTCAGGTCAAGGGGTTTATCATCCCTGACAGTGATATCATTGCTCTTGTTTGATATCTCCTTCATCACCTGAGTCAGTTTCATCTTCTCTCGTTTGGACATCCTTCCAAAACGAACAGCTGGAATTAAACAAAATTCATGTATTTTTGAGTAAGGAAATTGTACTATGCAACAGATAATAAAACCATTACATTCTAATCAGAGAGTTGTTACTGGGTCTGTGAAAACGTCACAAAAACTTAAGTATCTACAAAATCAATACAATATGGGAATATATTTGTAAAGTATTACTTCTATAATCATCGCATGTAAACAAAAGCTAGATAAATGGACTTGCAGCAGAATTCAGTAAAATTATGCTTTTACAACGTAAGAACCGACATACATCCCAAATACAGCTCATGGAATATAAATAATCTTAAATAGTCTCCTCAATAAATCTTCATAAAAGAAAAAGGAAGGTCTGTTTCAAACAACTGGTACTAATTTCTACTATAAGAATAGTAAAGACATGCAATACTGTTACATACCATTTTTGGACATGCCCATAAGGATGCACTTCCTGAGTCGACATGATTGACATTGGTTCCTATTCTTTCTCTGTATCACACACTTTCCTCCATTCGGACAGGGGCGGTAGGTTAGGTTGTGCTGGACAGTTCTGCGGAAGAAACCCTGTAAAGAAGAAGGATGGAGAGTGATTATTACCATTATAGTATCATCTTCAATATTATTAGTTGATGTCATTATTATCCTTCTTTTCTTCCTCTGTATCAAACAGTTTCCTCCATTCGGGCAGGGTCGGTAGGTTAGGTTGTGCTGTACAGTTCTGCGGAAGAAACCCTGTAAAGAAGAAGGATGCAGAGTGATTATATTATTATGTTGCGCTATATAAAAGACAATTGTATGTATGTATGTATGTATCTTCAATAGTATTAGTTTCTGTCATTTTTATTATTCTATTCTCTCTCTCTCTCTCTCTCTGTTCCACACACCTCTCTCTTAGGGCAGGGTCTGTAGGTTAGATGCTGTATAGTTCTGCAGAAGAAATCTTGTAAGATAGATATTAACAACAGCGAATTTTATGATCAATTTTTTTTCTTCATCATCTCTATCATTCTCTCTCTCTCTCTCTCTCTGTACCACACACTTCTCTCCATTGGGGCAGGGTCTGTAGGTCAGATTGTACTGTTCAGTCTGACAAAAAAAGAAACATTGTAAAAGTTCATAATTGATACTTGATATAATTGATGAGTATTACGGTATTAAAGAAGTGTAGCATTCCAGTGTGAATATGTATTCTTGCTATTTTATTAGAACAGAAACAAGCACGCAGGGTAGATAAAGTTTAACATAATGGTTATTGTTCTTTTACATAGCATTTGAACTTAAAAAATTACAACTACTGTTGATATTTGGTATTTGGTTAAAAATCAAGATTCCTTCTTTAATCTCATCTTTAATCTCATCTTTTAAGCAATGAATTACTTTATATTTCAGAAATAATCAAATGTAATAAGCAGGAGTCCAGCACATCTAAAACTAATAACAGCTAAAAACTTCTTTTGACAAGTTTCTTTTTTTTTTCCAGGTGCATTAGAAACCTATATTGCACATTTCCATTGAACAAGGTCAAAATAATTTGATTTCAGCTAGGAATACTAATTACAGAATGGAGTATAATACCATTTTCACATCTATGAAAGATAATATCTGAAACCCAATAGTATTTGTGAAAAGGGAAGGAAATGATTGTTAAGACCTTGTACAGGTAGGATTGTTATTTTAAAGAATTCCTTTTACAAACCACAGCAAAAACGGAACAAAGAAATTCTAATCCCAGAGTTCATGTAAAATATGAGTGAGTATGAGCCGCATGGTTGAATTACAAAAGTAGGAAGCGCTTTGTAAAGATGACCTCCACTTTCTCAATTTCTCAGAGATGTATTTTGTGAGAAAAGTGACCTCCTGGAGTCAGTAAAGAATGAATAGTGGTTGAAATAACAGAGTAATAGTAGAGATAATTACAAAACAACCTGCATGAGAGGACATGAATGAGGTACGAGATTTTGTGTTGTTACTGTGGTCACTCACTGGTCAGCTTGTCCCCCTATGACCTACTGACCACAGCTAGTCTTTGGGTCAAGGATGTTCTAATCAGGAAATTCAAATGGGATTGTAGGCTTTCAGTTTACAATTACATTCATTGGACATGTTTAGCTTGCCTTACTCACAATCACCCATCCAATAGCCCCCTTCAGTAAACTCATCACAGATGAAATAGAATCACATGCATTTGTAAGGTGTATAAAGGAGGACTTGCTAAATGCCATGATAAGGATATGAAAGTGAATTAAAAGATGAAGAAAAATCAAACATATTTTTTTGATGAAATAAAAATCATGGGTCAAGGTTAATTCAATCCTCCATATAAATTAAAAGGAGTAGCACTATTCTTTCTACCACTTTCTTTCTTTTAGACATGGGTGAAGGAGGGTCCATCCAAACTGACCAGCTGTGTGTTGGGTCAAGGCTGGACAGAAAGAAGGGGCACAGTGCATGGTCCTATCATTTTGGATTGTGAGCTGCTGTAGCTACATCACAGAGTGTAGAGTTTCAGATTTGCCATGAAGCTGGACATGAATGTTATTGTCTAATCCAATATTAGGCAAAATTGGAATAAATCAATAAATCTTTGAACTTCTTAATAGAATAGTGGAGGCTTATAAATTCCTTTCAGGAGACCTACTGTGAATTAAAGGGAAAGTCCACCCCAAAAATAAGTTTGTTTCGATAGAGGCAGAATAATAAGAAAATCAGGTGAGTGAAAGTTTTAGCAAATTCTGAATGAAAATAAGAAAGTTATGAATTATTGAAGTTGTGATCAATCAAATACAAATTGGCAACTCTGTGACTTATTATACGAGCTCTCCTTCATTAGCTTTGTGCATAATATTCCATAAAATCATGTTTTCTTCGTTATTGATGACGGAATATATATTTGTTCCTTGCAGGGGGAGTATAGAAACATATTTGCAATTATTATATTTAGGGTGCATGTATGGTTGAAATTTTTCTTGAGGGAAAATGAAAATTTTAGATTTTTTTAGTACTGAGCAAATGGAAGTTGAGCTCGCATGATACGTCATAGAGTTGCCAATTTGTGTTTGATTGATCACAACTTCAAAAATCCTAACTTCCTTATTTTTAATCGGAATTTGCTCAAACTTTCACTGACTTGTTTCTCTCATTTTTCTACTCCTATTAAAACTAACTTAATTTCAGGGTGGACTTCCCCTTTAAGAATATATCTAAAAGGCCAGAATTTGGTGTTTCATATATTTGTTTTTATTGGGCATGTTGGTGTTGAGTGTTGGCAAAAGGCTACTCAACGTACATTGTATGAACCAAATCTCATGAACTTTCCAAAGGTACAGTTTAAATATTGCTCAGATGCTATACATGTAATAATCAAATTACATAATACACTGCAGGTAATATTCACTTTTAAAATCCAGAAGTGTATAAGGCTTATAAAAGCATACAAATATGAATACAAAACTTGACATTTCAGACCATAAGGGAATAGACCGATTGGGTAGTAGATGAACTGGTTGTAGACCAAACAACAATCAATCTTCTTTTTGTTCAGATATTACATTTTTGACAGAATATTGAAATGTTTTTAAACTGTCTGATTGTATAGACTAAGTATCATGTGTTGTCTGGAAGTCTAGTGGACATATCTTCTAGGTTAGTATGCTATTCTTAGCTCAATCATTGGGTCAAGGTGAAGTAGTGGTCAATCTACCTGGTCTGGCAGGCTTGACCACTGGCTAACCTCTCTTATGTAGTAAACCTACTGCATGAAATCACATGTATGCTCTAAATGTGCTTTATGCAAGTTGTAAAGCAAGTACATAGAACATGTACTTCAATTTTGAATAATGGAAACCTGAAATTATTATTGATCAGACCTTACTCTTGTCTAATTCTTTTAATTTTTCCACTGATAAGCCATTTTCAATTTGTTTGTAACACTTTTTTTTTAGTAGGTGAATGGTCATTGGCCATCAAGTGTACTCTCAACTCTCCACCAATGATCATCATTCCCTCCTAAAAGACCTAATCCTAATAATCAAAAGACTATTAAACGGCACAACTTTGGGCCAATAAGCCTACATAATCATACATAATAAACACACTCTAAATGCAATGAAGGAACAAGGTGAACACATAATTCAAATATAAAGCTTTTCATAACATGCTACTTTAAACACATTTGGGAGAAACTTCTGAGAACCATTTCATTGTATTGAGAATGAAAAGAATATCTAACATTATTTATATTACAAACCCTATTAATGTAGCTGTTTTACAGATAATTCATCAATTAATCTTAGATCATATAGTATTCCTAGAAGCTACATGACCAATTGGAAGTAAGTGACAGAAGATTCAAAGTGATGACTATTCCAGGGAATGTAATGAAGGACTATTGTCCATTAAATGAAAGGTCAAAGTGAAATATCATTTTATAATCTCTATAACAGTGTGATGTGGGGTTTTGGTGATGAAAAATGACTTACACTGTACATGTGGCTTACTGTTTGTTTCTAATGCCTGATAAGTTTCAAAGAATTAGCAATAGTTGACTTGCTTTTCATTGAGAATCCAGCTCTTTTGCATGATTTAGAGGGGCGTCCATCCCTACAGGGAAATATGACCCGGTCTACCTCATTCAAAACTTTCTTTCAGCAAATTTAGCCTAATTAATTCCTTCTTTCAAAATTGTCTAGCAGTGCCTCTCAAGAATATCGATGTATACTTCATAATGATTTCATATCAAGGCTATGCTAGGCAATATAGAAGAACACCTGCCTATTGTACATTATCATCCAATCATGAATTTCATGAAGAGTGTAGATTTTATTTTGTTCACTTTTACCCCCCTATATAAAATTGAACCCTGTCTACGTTCATATAATTTGGCGTTCACATACAATGTATGCTTCAGCAACAAATTGCTTCTCAATCAATTTTGTTAAAGATGTTGGGTCAGAGTTACAGTTGCATTTTTTTTTAAATTGGAGATGTTACATACAGTGTGTAGATGTAATTTCGTTAAAAACATGTTTATTAAAACCGGACTTGAAGTTGTAAAAAAGGACTATTCAAATGCTATCTGTATTAACTTTGCTTGCTATGAATTCTTTTTAGCTACATGTCAGTTTAAAGGCACACTGCCATACTTGTAGCTACTTGCTCCCTCTATATAGAAAACTTCCCCAATCGGTGCCTGTTGTTCCCCCATGATCCTCTTTTTCTTATGTTAAATGAGAGCTGAGTTAATGAGATAGCCACCTGTCACAGTGACCTCGATGGCTCGCTGTATGGTCTAATCCCTTCTTGCCCAGTAGTGGTGACGGTCTTTAAGGTTTTTATATTTCGTTGTTGTTACTATTTAAATATACTTGTACTTGCTTATTTTTTACTTTGTAAAGCGCATAGAGAAACTTCTGTTTATTATGCGCTCAATAAATCTATCTTTATTATTATTATTATTATTCATTTAAGTACATTGAATTTAGGTTTTCATAGCACATATTCAGACTTAATTAGCGATTTATTGACCTTTTGGTTTCAGTAGATGATAATATGGTATTTAGCATGAA